GAACCCACCGTCTGATGGTCTGATGAGCAGTAGCTTAAATAGCAGTCGATCATTTAGGGGGGGTTAGAGCCTTCGCATGTAACGTCACGTTTTAACTTTAACCACTGCTGTTTCATTTTTTTCACTGTGGTGGTGGGGGGCTCAGCCCCCATTCGAACCACGTCGATCTGTAGTCAATGTTGAGACCCGCTACTTCTTCAACATCGTCTCATATCTCGGCAAGGGAGAAACGGGTCCGGCAATCAACCTAGAAGCAAAAGTTTAAAAAAATGGCAATCCTGCTCAGTAGCCTACAAGAGGAACCGCAGATTCCGACCCCGGTTCACTCGCTCGGTGGAGGGGCCGGTTGTGTGACGTTACCATCTGAAAGATTACGGCTAAATGCCTCCAAGTCTGAATCTCTACCGGTGTCCTGCGTCAGCACCCAACACCCACCTGCATTCACGAGTCTCGAGCTGGCGAGGTACTTACCCGGGAATATGAAATCCAATCGGCGGGGAGTACAGAAATCTGACCCAATATTAACGTCAAGATCAGAGAAGAGAAATCATCAGTACATGTATTCCTCTTCAGTGGGGATGTTACTATTATTTGTTTGTTTGTTGAGTTGTTGGAGTGTTTTGTTTCTTTGTTGTTTGTTTTGCTTGTTTGTTTTTTCATTCCTAAGCCGAAAAGGAGCGTCATTTTGCTTCTGCGACAACGTCACGACAGGGCCTTCGACCCAACAACCAAGAAGCCAGAAATCATCAATTATTTTTTTCTACAAGCAACAAAATCTGTCGACCTGATACGTCTTGTATGGCATGTACGCACAACAAAACGGGTGCCTGTCACTGTGTCCTACAACATGCTAAACCTGGCAGCACTTAATACATACGTCTCTTTTGCTACATCAACCCTAGTTGGAAGGAGAGACACTCCCGCATCTTCTGAACTGTGGCTTTTGCATTTACTTGTTTTACGTTTGAATATTTTTACAACCGGATTTTGCACTTAGCCTAAGCCACATTCACTTTAAACGTTCATATAGTTTGGATTTGTGGATTTTGGCTTTCCTCATTTTGTTTTCCACTTTTGCAGCGTTTTGAAATTTAGATTTTACCCTTACAAAATGTCTTTTCACTTTAGCATGTCTTTGAATTTGGAGGCTTTTGGGGTTTTACTTGTCATTTTTATCTCTCTTGAAATATGGTTTCCACGGCACTTGTGTTTTTTATTCGATGATTATTGTTTGTTTTCTTTTCTGAGAATACAAATGATGCACTCAGAAACAGTTTCTACCTGTGTATTTATTGTGCATGCCACAAAGCTCTCCCAATAGAGTGATATCTCTATGGCTCTCCCCTAGTTTCAAGAACATGTTCTGCCCCTCTCCCTTTTTACATCCTCTGTTGAGGTGCAAATTGACTAGGCCAAATCGACATTTACAGATAAATTACTAATATTCTTTGATTACATTGAAACTGATGATATAGGTACCTGTCTTCTTGTGCAAAACTGTCACATGCTCCCCCCCCACACACACATACAGAGGTCGATGTCCCAACCCCCACCCTACCCCACAGTTTTGCAATTCAATAGGCTGCTTATGTTTAGACTGAATATATACCGGTTTACATCAAATTCAATGCCTTTTTAACAATTAGAAAATGCCATTTTGAGCGGCAAGTCGCTGCGTGCGAATGAAGTTGGGGGAAGGGGTCCTCTTCTGAGGGTTAAAATGTGTACTTTGTTGGTTTGTTCGGCAACTGTCATTTGAAGGGGTATCTGTCGCGAAACGTTCACAGTCCCGCCCCCACAGAATTTGTATCACCTCGCCTTGAAAATGTTGCTCATAAAGTTTGATTATTTTCTGTTGTATGCTAATGATCTGGCCAAGACGTTTTGGATGTCATTACCTCAGATTACCTCCAGTCTGCGATTGGAGCGTGTGACTCCCTGTTATTAAAATTTAGTTATGGGTAAGTGGGACAAGGAGCGCATCTTAGGATACCGTTTTGAGATCAATGGTTTGTTTCATGAACGACAATGTTTGTTCTGATTGTTCATATTCTCATATTATATGCTGATCATACTTGGGTCATTAATTTAGTTTATTGGATGTGAAAAAAATGTGATGACCTAAATAATATTTATGTCCAATTTGTCTGAATGCATGGGGTAACTGGGACAGCACAATGGTGTAAGTGGGACACAGACAAAATGATGTAATTAAAACAAACAATTCAATGTACATGTATTTCCATTATGAACATGTGCATCTCGCAGAAGAGGCCTCAGTAGGCCTACAAGCTGCATAGTCCACATTCCTTGCACACACAGTCCCTTTGTTCAGTTGTACGACCAAGAATAGTACGGTGCAGGAGTCAACTTGAGAAACCCGGTGAAAATATCAAAGAAAAGTCAGGGGCGAAGAATGAAATTCTCGTACCGTCATTCGTATACA